GGGGCCTGGCCTCCCACTGGCTGGCCGAGGAGCCAGGCCCCGCCCAAGAATCGTGGTCCCCTAGGGGGCGCCTCTGCGGCGGGAGGGTGGGAGCGGAGCAGAGCCCTGTGCCTGGTGCGCTTGTCAGTAAAGGCTCCTCCTGCCTTCGTTGCTCCCCGTTCTTTTTTCTTCACACACAGAAGCTCGGGGATCTTTTATTAGAGGAGGGAATAACAAGAAACGTCGTTTGGCCAATTCCCTATTTCTGGGGGGAAACCAGAGTCCCAAGAGTGCTTGGTCAGTGGCCAGACCCAGTGCCCTGCGTTTTCCCATGCCCTGTCACCAGCCTGCAGCCTGGCCTCTAAAGGAAGGCCCTGGGGCCCTGGAGACAGGCAGGGCTGGGCCTGGGAGGCTGGAGTGGCATGTAGCACTGGTCCCTCACTCAGTAGCCCGCTGGGGACAGCTGTTTAAGAGGAAGCAGGGAGGACAGGCTGAAGACAGTGTAGAAACGGAGTGGATAGAGGAGCTGTGTGTAGGCTTCCCCATCACATGCCCACATCAGGGCTCCTGGCTGCCCTCCCCAGCAGCCCCGTGTGGCCCACTGGCCCCCAGGATCTCTCTCCCTCCCTCTTGCCCCCATGCCAATCCGAGCTGTGCCTTCTCCTTCTTAGACTGATAGAGTACAGCTGCTGGCTGAGGCCCAAACCCACTATTTCTGGGTGGCTTCTCAGAATCGTCGTTTTTTCATCTCATTGGATTAATACGCGCCAATGCAGGATTAGGTTCTGAATTCCATCTGCTATTTTGCATGAATAGGTTACTTCCTAAGCCTCAGTTTTCCTGGCTGTGACATGAAATAATGCCTGTGTTGGCAGGTTGTGGCTATAAGGGCTACAGATGTGTAACATGACTGGCATTGTGCTTGGCACATAGTAGCCACTCAGTAATTGGCAGCCATTATTACAAGAACCCTAAGTATGGATTCTTTATTTCCTACCTTTTTTCCGAAAGGATATTCAGTACTTAATAGTGTACAATAAAAGAGTTACATTCAACTAAAATAAAAAATTAAGACCAGACATAATATCAATTAAAATCAAAGACCAGGATTAGGTAGAAAACACTACGGATATACAGGCAATAACATTCTAAGCAGATGCTACCAAGTAAATGCTGAATTCGACTCCTGGCTTTCTGGATGCCAAAGAAAAAGGGGAAATACAGTCACTCTCCCACCATCAGCCCGCCTAACCAGCCTCTCTTCTTCCCCAGATGAGCCAGCAGTGCTGGAGATGGAGGACCTTGACCACCTGGCCATTCGGCTCGGGGATGGGCTGGATCCCGACTCAGTGTCCCTAGCTTCTGTCACAGCTCTCACCACCAATGTCTCCAACAAGCGGTGAGTGGGCAGGAGCCCCATATCCCCAACTGCCTCCACCCTATCAGGCAGGACCCAGCTTGCCATGTTTGGAATTTGGGTGAGGAAGAATCGGGACCAGTGGACATCCTGTTCACACCCCTGCACCTTTTTCTTTTCCATGGATGTCTGTCTCACCTCTCTCCCTGCATAGGCAGAGTACAGCAGCTGCAGGCCTATTGCCAGGTCATTATACACCTCTGGGCCTGGGAAAACCACAGAACTGCCCAGCTCAGATTTGAACCTGTTGACTTAGTGTGCGTCTCCCTGTTACTCCACCTTTGGTTAGTCCTCTCTGTTGTGGCCTCTGAGAAAAACTGGCCCCCATTCTATTTGGCAGTCCTCGAGTGTTTGAAGACCATAATTCTCTCCCTCTATTTTTCTCCAAGGTCTAACAACTGCCAATGCCCTCTTCCCCTGCAAGCAGTCCCCTTAAAACAGGAGTGATGGTACCCTTTCTTTCTCAGATCTAAGCCGGACATTAAGATGGAGCCAAGTGCAGGGCGTCCCATGGATTACCAGGTAGGTGGACACCTGGAGGCTTCATGCCTTTCAGACTCTGCTTTAGTGGGGGTTCTAGCCAGATGTGCATTATAGACTCTGTGGAAGCATGGATCTGGGGGTCCTAGAGAACCACAAGCTGAGTGTAATTTCCCAAAGTAAGCTTGTTCCTGGGAGGCATTCCTAGAATTATCATGAGTAGAGAGGTACAGACCCACATAAGAGCTTGAGAACTCTGCTTATGCTGGTCAAAGTCCTTCCAGGATTTTGTGTCCAGCACTGGACTTCATAAAGTAAGAGGGACCTGGAAAAACTGTAGAGACCAAGGAGAACCACACAAAAAAATATTCAAACAGTTAAAACAAGAGCATCTGAAGAAAGGTTTTTGGTGTATTTTTAAATTGTTTTGTAGTATTTTAATGCTGGAAGTAATGTCAGTCCTGGCTATCTCTGGATGGTAAGAATGTGGGTGATTTTTTTTTCCTTTTTCTTCTTTGTATTTTCTGCAATTAATGCTTAACCTGTTTGTTGGTATGTTTCTAAAACTGAAGACAAAAAGGCTGAGACAATGTGGGTTTATAGCTATAAGACTGTGAATGTGGCCACAGCACAGGCAGGACAATGGTGAGCATGGCTGGTGGACCCTCAATCTTTACTCTTCTCCAGACTTGGTCAGAGCCTGGAAGACGAGGTTACACTAACACAACTCACAATAGACTGGTGTATAAGCCAAAAGTACTTATTTATAAACTGGAAGAAGGGAAGGAGAAGGCATCTCTCAGGAAGGGCCCAGGGACCCTCCATGGCTCCAGACCGTCCCCTGGGGGCTAATGAGACCCAGCTATAGGTCAGAAGACTGCTCGGCACTCCTATGCTGCTGGCTGGTCGGGGTGACAGAGCTTTAGGAGAACCCCCTGGCTGCTACTGCACTTCCTGCCCTGGGCATGTTCTGTCTGGGTAGTCGCAGTGAGCCCCTCTCCCACCATTAATCCAATTTATCCTTAACGAGCTTTATCTGTGATGCCCATTTCCCAGGCCCCATGCCCACCACCCCTTCTTTAAGGACAACCCACCTCACCTCACTCAGGTGATGATATAAAGGACTAGATGGCACCTTTCTGTGTAAAAGGTGACCTACTCAGTGACCATCTTCCCAGGCACTTGAAAAAGAGCCCCACACAGTGTCAAATGGGTCCACCCCTGTGGTTTTAGACAACCTCAAGCCATTGGGCTCCTTGGAGGTTTGAGAATGTTGCCCCCTCACCTCTGCCAAAACCCAGACACAAAGTGTCCTGAGATGTCTAAGGGCTTTTCCAGGGGACCAGACTCAGGGTTTTGTATGTGTGCTGAGACCAGGAAAATTCCAGAGAACAAAGACCCCAACTCAGATACCATGTCACTGGCCTGTCAGGTAAGGGCACATGGAAAATGGAGTTGTTAATGTAACTTATAAGGTTTGCTTTATCCCAGAGACTGTGTAGGAGCTATATGTGTGTTTCCACTTAAGTTTGTATAATTCTTACAACCACCCAAATATAGGTGTTATGCATTTTACAGGTAAGAAACTGAGGCCCAAAGAAGTTAAGGAGTTGCCCCAGGTCACACAGTTAGTCAGGGCTAGAGCCAGGGTTCAAATCCAAGGGTGTCTGACCCCAGCAGGCAGAGTGACTGACTTCTCTATGAACAAGCCTTCTGGACAGTTGCTCCCTTCTGGTCCCTGGTTCATCTCTAGCTACCATGTACTGCTTATTTTCAAAATCTTTTCAAAATGCTTCCTGCCAGAGGCTTTCATTAACTGGGCCAGACATTTTCCCTTCAAAGTCTTTTTAAAACTTCCAAATTGAACAAAACAGTTGTTGTATTTAACCTGGTAGCACAGGATTTCCTGACAGGTTCATTCACAACTCAGCTGCAAGTATCAGTACACTTGGAGAGAGAGAGGGTGAGAGAGAGCATGGATGAGGATATAAATGGGAAGTTATTCTCACTTCCAGCAAGTACAACGTGTAAAGCAGTCAAATCAGGACGGGCTTCACTCTGTTGAAGAACTTGGCTTTGATGAGCTAGAAAGACCTCAGAAAGCACATTCAGCTTGTGAGAGGAAAGGGGGGACTCAGCTGAACTCAGACTCTGGAAGGACCCTAAGGGCTTGGAATCATCCTAAAGATTGGATAGCACTTAAAGGAGGCCTGGAGGTGAAAAGACCATGGCACACACATACCTGTTTCTTCCATTTAGAACGGAGATAACATGTAAACCCTTTCCTCATTATTGGCATCTCAAAGGCAGCAAACCACCAGAGTGAGCAATGCTCATCATTTGGCAGAGATGTTCTTGGTGGGTCATGGAGTCTTGAGTCTCTTCCCGACCCTCCCTTCCTGCCACCAAGACTTAATACCTTTTCACCTCTGAACATCTCCATGCTGGCTCCCCTGCCATTGACCCGAGACCTCAGCCTCGACTACATTTTGCACCCACTTTCTACCTGGTTTCCCTGCCCCCATATTGCTTCCTCCACTCCATCCTCATGCCACCACTGAAGTGATCTTCTCAAAATGCAGATCTGGTCATGTCACACCTCTGCCACCTGCAGATGAGGGAAGGTAAAGATGTTGCAGAAGAGCAGCGCTAGCGGCTGAAGCGCAGTCAGACTCAATGGAAGCAGGTCACACAGCACCATTGCTCTTGGGTTCTCCCAGGACAGAGGTGTATGTTTAACACTCAGTATTGCTCCTGGTGGTGGCTTTCATGAAGCCACTTATGGATTATGTCCCTTATCTTGAAAGGAGATGGTGGAATAGTCAACCAAAAGAGGCAGCTGATCAGTTGGTCCCATTTGTGGCTCTGTTGGCCTCCTCTTCTTCCACCCTGGAAAAATCGAGTCCTCTGCTGATGACTGGAGGAAAGGATGGCCAATCCCCTCCCTCAGCATCCTGAAGAATGACCAGTTGTGATGCATTCCCCCTTTATAAAGCCCCAGGAAAGGGTGACAGGCAGCAGGAATAGCATTCTCCTGCCCCCCAGGAGACTTCACTCTCCACTCTTCTCTTCCCTTCTCCAGCATTCTGAGGCTTCCCTTTGGGGCCACCTCTCAAAGAGCACCCTCTGGAGCCTCTCTTCCCCGTCTTTGCTCCTTTCAATCCTCTGCCCTCCTCCTGCTCCACCTCCTACCTCGAGTGTCAGGGCTTCCAACCAAGTTGTCGCCATTGTTGGCTGTGCTCCATAGAGGAAGGTGGAAACTGATGAATCCTGAAAAGGGGGAGGAGGCAAAAAGGCTCCCATTATGGCCAGGCCTCAAGGTGGAAAACATAAAAACTAACCAAGCTCTTGGCATTGGGAAGGTTAACCTCCTGCTGGCTTATCTTTGGTATGTGCCAAAACTGTCTGTCTACTTCACAGTCTTGAGTTACAGTAGTTGCAGAAAAAAATAATAAAAATTTTTAAAACCTTTGGCATAAAAAATTTCATGGAAGTTAAGACTCTAAACTACTGTGCAAAGAATATTCTGGAAGGACTTCTAGTGTCTCTTTACTCTTTTGCGGTAAACTTCTCAGAGCTAAGTTAATTAGCCCTATTTCCTTTTTAGCTCCCTGAAGAAATGGTGATTATTGAGCTGCTTTGAAGCTCCGGATTCTAAGCTTTCACTTCAGTCCCTTTGGCACTTTAAATTCCAAATAGAAATGTTTGCTTTCATAGTTCAGGAGTTACTTCAATTAGTAAATACTCAGCTTCCCATTTATATGCTTTCCTGGCAATGTTTACATTGGCATGGGAGATTCTATTTTCTTAACATTATCACTTCTAACGTGGATTTTTCTTGGCCTTCAGTATATTTATAAGACTTTGATGAACATAGTGGATGATGATTTTACTGGGGGTTTTGTTTGTTTGTTTGTTGTTTTTATGAAAAGGGAAAATAATGATCTCAAGTACGATCATATTTATGTATCAAAGCAGAGCAACTAAAATACCAAATCTCCAAGATGGAAGCATAAAGAGCAACCCTTACAGTCTCATTAGAAGAATAGACTGAGGAAGATGCTAATACTAGCTTAGGAAAGCTATTATTTTTTGTTAAAATGCATGTTCAAAAGAGTCAAGTGAAACAATTCTAAACATCATATGTGACCCTGCCTACTTGAGAGACCAACCACTTCAGTGAAGATTGTATCTGAGGAGCTGTTCGTAAGGATAGCTCACATGCTGTAGAGCTTTCTACTGCTGATGAGGCTGTTCGACACACATTATCTCAGTTAACCCTCACACAACCTTATGGGTAGCTGCTGTCTCTGCTCGTAGCTGAGAAAACCGAGGCTCAGTGAGCCTGCCTGGTCGTCTGTGCTCACAACTGGCAACGTGTCTGGCCTGGGGATCAATGCCACGTCCGGCAATCCCATCTATGCCTCTTTCTTTTTTACTATGGACACCCTAATGGGTGCTGACACCTCCAAATCCAAAGTGAGAGCTGATGGCTTAAAATGACGATTCAGGAAAAGTAATGGTTACACCAAAAATTACACACACACACATCGATAGATAGATAGATATAGATGACAGGTAAATAGATAGACACAGACATATATATATCTTTTTTTAGCTTAACATCTATGAGCCAATAGTCATTTACAGTAAGCTGCATGAGGGGAAGGAGTCTGTTTCATTGCCACCTATGGCGGCTGCAGTAGGTGTCCAGTAAATATTTGTTGAATGAGTGAACACCTGAAAAAGGGCTCCCCTGGATAGAAGTAAGATTCCAGGGCGCTGGGCACCACTAAAGGATGCAATAGAATGCACCCAGCATACTATCACTAGGCAGAAAAAGGTGGTTCTAGTGGCACCAAAGCTTCGCTGGCCATTCAACAAAGAAGTTAAACAAAAGGCGAGGGGGCAGGAATGTGGAAAGGGGGCCAAATTCCAGAAACACAAAGAAATAGCAAAGGCCTGCAGGCTTAAATGAGAAACCCTGGAGCGGGAAATTAAATGCAAGTTAATGAAGACTTAAAAACCTTAATTCCCGAGTG